TACAGTCGACCCCCCTATAAGATAGAGATACGTTCCATTCTCTAGGAATCCGCTTTCTTACGAATCCTTCCAATCACAACCCGACACGTATCAAGTTTACGGACTACGGCTGTTTGAAAGATTTTCTTCCATAAAATTAATCGATTCTAGACTAATCCGACTCAACATTTCCAAAATACGTATATATTTTTTGGGAATAATCCGTATAAACTACGCTATAAACAAAAAATTGTAGGATTACTTACCGAGTGTCACCATTCGACATTGCCATTGCTCAACATTGTTTTCGTCGCGGAACAGCTCAGCAAAGAGCGGCCGATTTCTAACAACTTATTTTTCTGTGAAAACTTCGTAGAACTTCGGAGACATCATTAATATAAATAATTTTAATCGCCGTTGAATAAGAAATGTTTCTTTCACAAGAAATGTATAAAATTACAGTACTGTATTAGACTTACGGTACCTAATTTACATACTGACAGACGATAGTTAGCGTAAAAATCTCCGTAGCGTGGCGCCACGCTAGACGGCGGAAATTATATATTTAATTATAACAAAGTTACAATAAGTTAATATATAATTATATATACAGTACCTAATTTATATATAATTAATATATAATTATATGTACAGTACCTAATTTATATATAATTTATATAATACTGTCCAGACGATAGAAATCTCTCCATAGCGTGGCGCTACCGACGGCGGGAAAGTAGTTCGGCTGCCCGATGACGTTTGAGGTGTTTATAGGGAACTTTTACTATTTTTCACGGATACCGGTAGCAATTTTTTCGTAGTTTTATAGGAATCGTAATTATAGGGACCGTAATTATAGGGGGGTCGACTGTACTGTTAAGATTTTAAAAAAATTATCAGTTCTTTTCATCTTTACATTTTTTCTTATTTACAGGATAAAGTACAATAGTTGCTTCGAAAAAGATAATAACGTCAGATGAATCACTTAGACATTGGCTCGGAGACGCCTTATTTCCCCTAGTGACATAAACATTGAAAAGTTTCGGAAAATTTCATCGGTTTACTGAACAGTACAGAAAAAGAAATGTCGACTTCAATCAACGCTTAGGGCATGTATCAACAATCCTACAGCCATCGTTTAGTATTTACTTTTTTCTCGTACAATTAGTCTGTGTTTTTTCACCTAAACCGGATAACTATCGGTATCGAGTGTTTATAAAATAGAATTTTATTCATATTCAATTTTCAAACGTTAGAAATACGAATAAATTACGAATATACACTTTTATCAAAAAAATAAAACTGACCTATATCATCAAATTATGTTTAAGTTGGCTTAACCGTGCCAAGAATGAAACTGTAATAAAACGAAACATTTATTACTCATTGGTTGTAAATACATATATTCATTAAAGAATAAATTGCTACAGAAATTTATTAATAAAATCTGATTAATCTATTTCCATTGTTTTTTTTTTATATACTGTATACAGGATATAATCTATATGTGTATTGACTGGCAATAGGCACGATACGAAAGGCCCTCAAATCTCCATTTCTGTAATCATACCAGTAATGAACAAAGTGATTATTGTTTTATTTTGTGCATTAATTAATGTAATTAATTTAAGAAAAATACGCGTGAAGAACTAGAATTTTATTATATAAACTTACTTAGTAATAAATGTCTCCATCGATGACTTGTAATTACAGTAAAGCCTCGATTATCCGACTACCGATTAACCGACCGTCCTAGTCGGCAAATTTCAAATGTCCGCTAGTGATGTGGCGCTACAATATTTGGCTATGTCTTGGCTACTTTAATATTATTTTTACGTGTTTTAGCTGGCANTTTTCATAACTTAAGAAACAACAAAGTATCGCTATTATTAAAATAAAACTGACCTTATTACGACTAAAATCGCCAAAACTCTTCGTTCGATGTTATAAATATATAAACATAAGAGAACTTAATAGAAGTATTTATAATATATTAACACTACAATATCATACTTCTTATACGCAGGTTGTCTTTTATATGTCTGATGTTTAGAAAAAATAGCTGGTGAAACGTCATTTTTTCTTTCAAAAGTTGTAATTGTTCTTGAATAATGCTTATTCATGAAGAAAACATTGTATGAAGTATAGTTAGTGACGCATTACTAACGACATACCGCACATCTAGTTATTGATGAATTACAGCAAAGAGAAACTTTGTAACCACGTATCGAAGTTACATATCGCCTATCAGAAATACACTATCCTGCATCCCCTATTGTTATGCCATATATGGTTAAAATACTATAGTTATCACTTCTCTAAAGGAAATATGACTATTGTCTTAGGTTAAGAAAGCATTACTTACTCATATGTACGCAATGTAAAATCTTTGCAAAAATAAGAAATTAGTTTATAATTATACTTTTTTTTGTCTTATTTAAATATATTTCGAAGTTTCTCTTTTATTATCTGCTGTTTGTGGATTTATAGTTGAAATAGCAACTGTTTAAAACTTGGTTCTAATCAATGTAACTTTAGCTTTCAGTTTTGTGTTTACGGCTAAGAGGTGTATTGAATTCGTATTTATGGCATATTTACAACAAATATATAAAAATATTACATGTGGTGCAAGTATCATGTCTCAAATTTATTAGAAAGTGGAATAAATATAGTGGAGCACAAGATGTAAGGATGTAAAAAAGTCATGCAGATAGCGAACCAAAATTTGGCCATAGTGTGAGTAAAAAAGCGAATTATGTACAGAATAGATCTGTTCTAACGAAATATTTCTCTAGTGAATTAAATAATTTAAAACTAAAAATAAACACTTAACCTTGAAATTTATTCTACCTGTTACATGTTTTGTTTTAATTTATTGTTTATCATAAATTAAGAAACGAAAAGTTTCCATTAGAGAACGACATTTTTTGTAGTGTAAAATGACATTCTGTATCTACCAGTTACTTGGTAATTTTTTTTTTATAATTTAGTGTTATTAGGCTTTGCGTACATGTAACAATATATGTAAGAAGTGTTATGGTGCCACTGAATATATAGAATTATGAAATATACAATTTCGTGTAGAACAACAAACAATTTGAAATTACTACTATTGTTTCGTCATTAACTACTCTTATTATAGCCAGCTGATCCTCTATAATCTATCTTATATAAATTGATAATACATCTTAACATACAGTTGTTAACGCTGTATGTTAACACTGTATTGATTGTGATTGCTCTAAGTTCTAAAGGTGACACGACAGTGTTCCATTTTCCGTAGTCCAAGTCCAACGTCCGTAAGGGTGCGACTATGCAGACGCGAATTTAGAGCGAGCGAGAGATTGCGAGCGATTTAGTTTTCTCAAAGGAAAACCATGCACAAACGAGAAGCGAGAAATAACACTTGGCGAGAGCGAATTTCTGGTTCTCGCGCATATCTGACAGGTTTTGATATTTATCGCGTCTCGCCTCTTCTCGCCACATATTTTCGCTCGCTCGCGTCTGCATAGTCTCACCCTAACCCTAATTTACTAATAATAGTCATAGAAATATGACAACTATGATATACTGATACTACTTTCTTATCTAATTTTTCCAAAATACAGTGTTAACACTTTCTAAAATACTTATAATATGAACTCACTTTTTCAGAGAAATTAAGCCGAACATTTTCAATTTCGCTGAAAAGTCATAAAAAATGCTTTAAATGAAATAATAAACAATCCGTAAATTTACAGAATGTGGCAACATATTCAAAATAAAAACACTACACAGAATTTTCAAACTACTTATAATTTTCTTCGATTCCTTAAATTCGTCGTGTTTACTCTCACTAAATATTGCAATTTAAGTCAGATTTTGTATCATCAAATTTAGCTTATCAGTGCCATTGGCCAATAGACAGACTTCAGTCTGTTCGAAACCGTTTATGGTTTTCAGAGTGCCGAAGAAACTAAAAGTTGCTTTTATTATCTGAAATGTAGAATTCGATTAGATTTAACAACTTTCTATTTATATTAAACTTACGTATGAAAATAACAAAAAACTGTTCTACCCTGTAAGCAAATTGCTTAGTAATTATGAAATCCAGAACTTCTACTCCCAGTTGTCTGGATCACAATCTCTTTAGAAAGCACAAAAGCTGTAAATATAATAATATTGTTGTCGTGTATCAGGTGTGATCAACACTTAATACTACTGTCAAATAAAATAAAATGTTCTGTTGAATTGTTACTCACTTACCCGCATTTTATCGATGAATGGCAAATTCAGAGAGTCAAAGTACCTAGTCTCTTCCAGACATTTCCTAGCCTAATAGTAGTAAATTATAATTTTATAACTGATATTCTTATATCGCATCAAAACATATAGCAAAATGATAAATAGTACTTTTTAAATTACACTTTTAATATTTTAATTTTTTAATACTTAAAAAATTTGGATACTACTCACCGATGTACATATCATCGAAGCAGTTGCAGAAAATGTGATCAAAGAGACAACTAATACGACTAATGAAGGATAAAACACAAATTTTCCTTCCAAAGACGTGTGCATAATAATTATAACAAAAGTAGCTACGTAGGTAATGACGAAAACATAACAGATAGAAGTAAATACACTTGCAATATCATTTATTGTTTCCATTTCGAGCGCAATTTTAGAGTATTCTCTTTGTATGTTCTGTACTATACGAATATATCGCAGCTGTCGCGAATGAATGAAATGTATTTCCTCAAATAATGCCTCCAATTTATAATATATTATCATAAAAAATGTTGTTCCAATCGGAATAAAAGCTAAAGTAGCTGAAAGACATGTTGTGTTTAACGCAACGAAACCTGTACATATACCTGCAAGTAACGCCCCAGTATCTTCTTTTACAACCGGATAGTGTTTTATAAATAAGAATATTGGAACAAATGTATTTAATAATACGCAAAAGCTAGCATAAATTTTTGTAGAATAGTTTTGAAATTGAGATATTTTGTTTGCTGTTTCTCGACTGATACCTTCATCGTGCCAATGAACTTGGGTGTTACTCGTTCTCAAATATGTTAGATAAAGTGTGAGTAATACAGTGAAGATCTGTATAGTAACTACGATCATTTTAAATATTGTCGGATAATTTGTAGATTTGTATATGAATCCCGAACAATAAGGAAGCGTTTGTGCTTCAGGCAATATAACGATAGTCAAGAAACTTGTGTAATACATACAAATGTAGATAGTTAAGAACAATAATTTCGACTGACGAGTTTTTCTATTATTTCGTCTGTTGTTTGTGTCTTCGTGGTCGCATGTAATTATTAATAGTCGATCGGATTTGTCAATAAGTTTCAGAAGATATTTCAAAGGATCTTTGATACAAACGCGGTTTCTTGTACTTTGCATATTTATAAACCGCATAATAAGCTATTATTGTTATTTAATACGAGTAATTTATCTAAATACGCAGATTTGTGTAAATCTCAGAGTATTCTATACTATATTATGATGTATTATTCAGTGGTTTATATACAGCACACTACAAACGCTTTAATTCTAATGCTGAAATTAAATTAAATTAGATTTAAATGTCATTAATTACACGTAGTAAATTGTTAAGTATAAGATATTGTACAGTACATATACCTTCTGTTTTGGGTAGAATTTAATGAAACGATTTCTTCTACGAATTATTCGACAGCTTTGAAATATTCCTTCAACACTCGTGCAAGTTACGTTATTGTTCTTACTGAAATTGATTTGGGAAAATATTCGAAATTTTTATTTTTCTAATTATCTTTTTATATAACATAGAGAAATGCGTTGAAAATTTAAGAAATTTGCATCCATTAGAGCTAATGGATAGTTGCGAGTTTATTACTGTCATCTAATTAGTGTAAAACACGGAAGTACTAAAGTTGTATTCTCATATAAATTCTCTTCATAATGTGATTATATAATAAAGTAGAATAATTAAATTATATTAAAAAAACGGTGAAAATATACGAGAAATTATCAATTGAATGAAGGTGAAAATAAAATAAAAATGGAATTAAAAGAACATTTCACTCTTTTTCCTTTTATTAAGCTCGTTTCTCGTAAGTTATTTATTAATGAATATTTATGCCTAAACGTGGTCATTTTGTATGCATGTTTGTAAAAATATCGTATAAATTTATTAGTTTATTGTTTGTGCTATACAAATGATGTCTCTAATGGAAAGTAAAATTTTCCATTAGTGCAATAATTTTAAGAAATTTCTAAAATTGCACAGATTTTATTATGTAATTTATTTTGTTCTGAGTGAGTGTTTATAACACTTACTTTTTCGATTGTGTCATTGAGGGAAAGTATGGCAATCGGTCAAAAAATAACCCCCGAGATTTTTTAACATTTTCTTTAGACCCCGTGTGCCTTGAAACGTCGAGAAATGCAATTCAATTTATTTTCCCTGTATATACAGTATGGATGTTTGGGTGGAAAAGCACCGTACGATTTTGTTCATTCTCTTCTATGATTAATTATTTTTGTACTTTTCTGTCGAAAATTTCTGATATTTTGCGCAGGAAATTGGGATTTAGAAGCATTGTTGTTATTGAATTTTAGTAATTAAAGGTGTTGGCGTGTGGAGATAAAAATGGTGAGGCCTGGTATCTGGAGTCCATCCAGATACCACAACTGGGTTAGATATCATGGCATATGCCGGACTTAACGACGAATTTTATTCGATGTTAGTTTTTACAATTTTCTATAACACTCACCCCTAATTCAAAATCAACCTTTTTGTCATTTTATCATAATTAAAGATATAAAAATTTTAAAAATAAAATATCGTAGCGTATCGCCACACGCATGTTTAAATGTTGCCGGGTATGTTAAGCAACTCGTTGATTGATTTTTAGCAGCAATTACAATATATTCTCGAGATACATTCGACCTATCATTTACAATGTGTTTGCTAGAAAGCTACTTTTTAAGCGTAAAGTCGTTTACTGACTCTATTATAGCAGTGGTGGAGGCACCCGTCACTCCTTGTTTGCAATCTCGAAAAGCGTGACGATTACAGTGTTTTTTTAAAAAATATATAGTAAAATTGCGTAATTGTTACGGTAGAACTTCCAAATTGCCTATCTCTAAATTCTCACTGCCGTCGTCTGTCCATCTTTAATCTCGAAATCGGAGTTATCGAGATGAAAATCGAGGTCAGATATGAAAGCTGAGGGTTCAAAAGACTTAACGATGTGAGAACTTCCAGTTGAAACGAAGGAGATGTGATTTTAAAAAGGAAAACAAATAAAAGTTGCAACTTGAAATTGTGTCAATGTCACAATCTTACGAATTGTTCAGAATTGCATAATATATATTACAGAAGGAAAGTAACATCTTTTGTATTGTCTTTTACTTTACAATTAATTTAAATTTATTAATTAAAAGATTGTAAATTTTTTTTACTTTTTTCATTTTACTGAATGTTACGCAACTCGTTGCTGAGTTTTTAAAAATCAATTTAAAAACATTGATTTAATTTATTGATTCAAAGTTCTAAAATGTCCCAATACGAACTCCAGGTTCTCACAGTTTTGTCCCGAAGAATAATAAAATTACGCAATTATTGTGTTGCATTCTTCTTTTTGATTACAGTCGACCCACCTATAAGATAGAGATACGTTCCATTCTTTAGGAATCCGATTTCTTACGAATCCTTCCAATCACAACCCGACACGTGTAAAGTTTACGGACTACGGCTGTTTGAAAGATTTTCTTCCATAAAATTAATCGATTCTAGACTAATTCGACTCAACCTTTCCAAAACACGTATATATTTTTTGGAAATAATCCGTATAAACTACGCTATAAATAAAAAATTGTAGGATTACTTACCGAGTGTCACCATTCGACATCGCCATTGCTCAACATTGTTTTTGTCGCGGAACAGCTCACCAAACCGCGGCCGATTTCTAATAACTTATTTTTCTGCTAATAGTTCCTTGAACTTCGGAGACATCATTAATATAAATAATTTTAATCGCCGTTGAATAAGAAATGTTTCTTTCACAAG